AAAATGTAGAGACGCAACCCTCAGGCCGTTTTAAGCTCACAGCCACAGAGCAGTTTTGGTGTGCTCCTCTATCACATCCCCTTTAGCCCAAACTTTCATGTAACGTAGCCTACATTGGTGTTTAATTAGCATACTTTAAAAACATATCTTATTTTCAACGCAATGACCTGCTCTGCTTCGACCTATATTTGCCATTTTACTTATTTTCTATCAGGCCTCATTTAATACCATGGTGCGTTTTTGGCTTCAGGACAATTGGGAGCTTTTTAACAGCCATCTCTTTAACATAACACAATGGTGTAATGGGTACATTTGCAGTAAGCACCATTTTTTAAATCTCTGTTTTGTTCTTTAATACCATCAAAATCTTGAATACAACAATTTCGGTTTTTATGCATTTCCTTTGTCTTGTGTTTTTGGCAGTTGCTGCTTCCAAGCTTGGCCTTGTTAATAAAACCTGAGGTGGTTTCATTTCTCTGCTGTTCTCTAAGTTGTGCCCTGTCAGGGCAGGAGGGGAGATTGTCTTGCCCAGCCTGGCGAACAAAGGTCGTCGTTTTTCTGAAAGAAGGAGCATGGCATGCAGAGATAAGATGAGCTCTCGCTCAAATTATTGCAAAGCAGATACCTAAAGAGTCAAGCGGCCAAGGCCTGAAAAACTCACTCACATGTTGTGCCCCCAGTAACTCTGGGCAACATGGACAAACCCTCTCTAATGAGCTGAAGGACATGTGGGTTTGAAAAAAGGAAACAAAATTAACATGGACACATTAAATAGTAGGGTGCCACAAAGACTCATTTCTTGGCCAAAATCATAAAAGATCTTGCCTTAACTGCAAATTCTGCACAGACCTCAATACCTGTGTTATTATGTTGTATAATTTTGCATTTGGTCCAGTTAAGATTATAATAGGCTGGCAGTGAGGAGATTTACTTAAGTGATTTCATAAAGAGGGATTTGTTTTTGATGGATTACGTATTTCATACAAATAGTATTTGCTTAAATATATGGATTAATTTGTAGTCTCATGATAGATATCAGCTTTTCATCCTCTTTGTGTTATATAAAGAGTTAAGTGGAGTTATTTCACAGAAACAAATGTTGCAGAGCTAGACCTACAAATGTGCTGTTTTAAATGGACACAAGGGGTTTTGGATTTCCCTGATAGAGATCTTGGTTAATAATCGTATAGCCTGTCAGTAACGGCACGATTATATTACAGGAAGTCACTGTAAAATCTTGGCACATATCACTCCTTTTCTTTGTCTGCGGCCCATGCACCAAAAAGTCTTAATCCCTTCAGTCTTTTCAAATAAGCGACACACACCTCCGTTATTATTCTTCAAAAACAAAAACAAACACACACAGCCTCTTTAATTCCATCTCCTCGTGTTCCTTTTGCCCACATTTTTTTTGCCTCCTCCATATTCTCTCATTCCCACAATGTTCTTGGTTCAGTGTGGCTGTGTGAGGCAGGCGTATGTTAGTATGAACAATCGGCACCCGGCCCGGCTCGGCCTGGTCCAGATGGGGTCTGCACCCCCCTAGCAGTAGCGGGGACGAGCCAGTCAGTCAGTCAGCCATCCAGCTAGCCAGCTAGCTACCCACCCGGATAGCCAACCAGTCATTCACCCAGCCAGTCATGTCGCCTCTCAGCCAACCGAACAGCCAGCTTGCCAGCCAGTCAGTGGAGCAGCCAGTCGCCGGACGGCGGGTCCTCTGTCAGACTCCGACTGTCAGACTCTGACAGAGGAGCAGGCCAGGCTAAATCTGACGGTCCTGGGAGCCAACCAGAGGACTCTGGCCGTTGTAGGGCGTTCACACAGACAGCCTGTCCCGCTGCACAGCAGGGGGCTTCAACCCACAATCAAATGGCCGGGCCCTCAACTTTGCCACATGACAAGTTAGCTTTTTGTGGCTGCCCATTGCCCGAGATTCCAGTTTGGACAATGTCTCTATAATTCTCCATGGACTAATTTGGACAGCATAAATTAGCAAATACTTTTTTGTAATTTGGAAGAATGACATTTAAATGCACTTCTAATGAAAAGAGGGGTCTATACTTATTTCCTACATCAGAATATATTGAATTGATCCTTGGTGAGAGCCTTTGTCTCCGAAATACTTCTCCCATGGTGCACTGGGCACAGTTTGTCCCTCTGAGGTCATGTGGGTCAGCCAATGATGATGAGACAATGCGCTTGCCAGGGCAGCTATACAGCGCTGTGCTCCCTCACTTTCTGCTGCTGCTCAATCCCAATCATGTGTCATTGTGTACTTATAAATAGAAATATCGGCAATTTACTGGCTGCAGTAGGAAACTATAATTCTTTTTTCGCGCTTACAAAGACCAGCGTATCTGAATCTGAATGCATTAGACTAAGCTTTGTGAATTACAGGGAAGTTGTATAGCCTGTTTTAGACGGTTTTAATATCCGCTTGCCTTGCGTTGTTAAACGGCTTAACATGTATAGGCTACTTACATGAAGCTGTCCACCACAGCATTTTCAGTTGTCATTGTCCACCAAATCCTGTCTCTCACCCACAAATGGGATTGCTCTCTAATTTGGTAACTGAAACTTTTAATGTGTTTCTGTGTCTGTAATGTTGGAGCTTTTAACGTGGAGTAACCAAAAAAATGGGGGATAGAAGGGGCCAGTTTGGAAGTGAGGGTGCATTTTGAAACAGGAGAGCATGTTTTTGGATGGTATTTTTTGTTGGGGGGTTGATGGGCATGTTCTTCCCCCTCCTCTCTTTGTTTGTGTGTTAAATCCAGGAGCAGCTGCTGGTCTCAGGGTCTAGTGGGATTTTGGGCCTGTGTTTTCTCATGCCATCCCATGCCAAGGTGGTGTAACGCGAGCAGAGAGAGGGGTGTTTCTGGAGGGGGAGGGCGGCGGTTTGTGTGGGGGGGGGGGGGTGCAGTTGGAGAGCGAGCTGGTTTGTTGGGATGGCTGTGACCACGCTGGTGACGAAGGCGATGAAGGGGGGGGGGGGGGGGGGGGGGTGGGCGGGAGACCGTAGGGGGCTTTAGGAGGCGGGTGCTGTCTGGATTGGATGCATGTAAAATTAATATCCTCTGGACTTTGCCTTCGCACTAGATTGGAACTTGTCTATTTGGCTAATGACGTGCCTTCTGCCTGCACCACACACAGTCCCCGTCTCTCCCCCTCCCTCCTTCTCTCTCTCTCTCCACTACCAGCCTACCAACCATCCACCCCCCCCCCCCACCGCTTTGCTTCTCCCTCTGCCATCTCTCTCTTCCCTCCCTTTCAGCGCTGGGAGCATGCGTATTGGCTGGGCTGTTTGAGACTCGGTGCCAAATAGGTGGGCCCTCTGCATGTTGGCACAGACTCAGTCAATGGTTAGAGAAGGAAAGTGGAGAGGAAGAGAGACACAGAGTTGGAGAGAAAGAGGGGGGAAAAAGAAGCTGCACTCGGGTTTGCCAGCGGTCGTGCACACTCTTCCAACATTGATTCGGTCCTCTTGTTTTGTTTTTTTTCTCTTCTTCTTCTCCTCTGTCCGCACCCCCCTTGTCCAGCTCTCTCTCTCTCTCTCTCTCCCTCTCTCTGCGAGTCTTATGCAGATCTCACAGAATTGAACCAATAGCACGCGTCGCTTTGCCAAGCATTTTCTTTTGTTTTGTTTGTCAAAACAAACTAGGGGGCTTGTTGAAGTTTTTGATAATTTTGTACATTTTTGCAGCAATATCTGTTTTGTGCGTGCGCGTCCAGCTCTTTTTTTAAAGATCCTTTAGACAGAGAGATTGCTGAACTTCTCTACATTCTCCTTCTGTTGTGCTCTTGAACAGCAGCTCTCCTGCTACAGTACCTCCTGTGTTCCTGTGCTGGTATTACACTGCGCCCCCTTGGCCTGTCTCCTCTTTCTCAGCTTTTTCCCCCCTGCTGCTTTTATTGGACAGTTTCTCAGCTTCTCTTTTTGCTTAATTTTCTTCTCTCAGTCTTTTGTTTTCTAATATATGCAGCATCACTTCAGCGCCTTTGTTTGTTTGTTTGTAGCCTTTATTTAACCAGGTAAAATCCCATTGAGATCAACGATCTCTTTTTCAAGGGAGACTTTTTCAAGGGAGACCTGCTTTTGAATCACCAATCCAGTTGTTGTCCTCGTGGTGCATTAAGTTTCTTTACAATCGGCGGGTGAATTTATGATGAGAGAGCAAAATGGTAACTACTATGTTAATGTTGTTTTATTGCCATATGTTTTATGGAAGCGACTGTTATTGATCATTTTAGTGCAGACGCATTTATGTTATTTATGGACAAATATTTTAATTTTTAATAATTTCAATTTAGTTGGGAGTTCTCTAACATTATTACGAGTTGCATATATTATATATTGCAGTTTATGTAGTCAGTCAGCATTAGGTTTTAAAAATAGTTTTTGCTTTACGGATGTAGATATGAAATACATTATTTTTCTTAAACAATATTAAATGTATTTGTTACAATTTTGCAATATTTATTTAATACTAACACGTTTATGTATTTATGCAGGTCCACAAATATGTCCACTGTTATTTGAAGAAGATACATCATTTCCATTTCTCCACTTTTACCTCTTTCTCAGTTTTGAGTTATTGTTTTGTAAAGTGTGTCCTTCAATGTGATGTGTGTGTGTGTGTGTGTGTGTGTGTGTGTGTGTGTGTGTGTGTGTGTGTGTGTTGAGAGTGAAATGCATCTCTCTGTCACTTTCTCTCTCTCTCTCTCTCTCTCTCTCTCTCTCTCTCTCTCTCTCTCTCTCTCTCTCTCTCTCTCCCGCACCTCTCGCTCATTCTCTCCCTCCGCTCGTACAGAGCAGGCGCCGCTCCTCCATGCTGCGTGCCGGTGCTAACTGCCTCTCTTCTCTCTTCCCTTCCTCACCCCCACTCCCTCTCTCCCCATCCTTCTCTCCCCCATTCTCTCCCTCTCTCTCCACTGCCTCCTCCTGCTTCCACCCCTCCTCCCTCTCCTGCTCCACCCTCCCCCCTACCTCCTCCCTCATCCAGGATGAATTCCACCCCTTCATCGAGGCCCTGCTGCCCCATGTCCGCGCCTTCGCCTACACCTGGTTCAACCTGCAGGCCCGCAAGCGCAAATACTTCAAGAAGCACGAGAAGCGCATGTCCAAGGAGGAAGAGCGTGCAGTGAAAGACGAGCTGCTGGGGGAGAAGCCAGAGATCAAGCAGAAGTGGGCCTCGCGCCTGCTGGCCAAGCTCCGCAAGGACATCCGGCCCGAGTTCCGTGAGGACTTTGTGCTCTCCATCACGGGGAAAAAGCCCCCCTGCTGCGTGCTGTCCAACCCCGACCAGAAGGGCAAGATCCGTCGCATCGACTGCCTGCGCCAGGCCGACAAGGTGTGGCGGCTGGACCTGGTGATGGTCATCCTGTTCAAGGGCAGCCCCCTGGAGAGCACGGACGGGGAGCGGCTGGTCAAGTCTCCACAGTGCACCAACCCTGGCCTGTGCGTCCAGCCGCACCACATCGGAGTGTCCGTCAAGGAGCTGGACCTCTACCTGGCCTACTTCGTCCACACGCCAGGTATGTGGCCAATTGGATACTAGACACTAATAAAGGGAGGGATGCCAACACATAAACACTCGTCATACATGCCCGTGTGCATGTGCATATAGATGAGCACAAATATTTGCATTATCACAGACACAGAAAAACACCTTACACACAAACACTGGTTTGTGTGACACATTAAATAGAGATGTATTGACAGAAATTGCCATAAATAAAGATAAGTGTATTAGTTTCTGAAACACATTTAAAAAGTGTTTGAATTATATATGATACAAATTATATTTATATATTATTATTATTTTACCATTTTGAATTTAGGTAAATTAACAATATTCATTTAAATAAATAAAGCAAACATTTAACCCTGACGACAAATAGTTTCGCTTTTTGTCTTTTCATAGTTGTCCTTCTGTTTCCTGGTATTTGTTTACATGACAACATAGTATCAACAGTAATAAAAAGAATATGTGTGTGTCAAGGGCATTCAGCCAACATGCTCTGGCAAGTACGAGTTCATTTTTCAGGCATTTGCGGCTTCATATTGAGCATGTATTTTGTGTTTTTTTTATAGGAAGGAATTTGCATGCCTCTGTGTGTGTTTTCTATGAGCTGATCACCACTGTCAAAATGTGTGTTTTTGTGCGATGAGTGAGACTCGCTGTTTATAAAATGTTACTCAGTCTGTCGAAGTGTATGTGCCACGATAAGGCCATTGTAGCCAGGCATCGTCATTTGGCCGCTGCCCAGGTTCCGTGTGTGTGTGTGTGTGTGTGTGTATATGAGAGAGCAGAGCCGCGAGTCTCCTGCTCTCAGGCCGCAGGCTGCTGCCGCCTTCACCGTCTGCCTGAACGCGAGCACCACGTTGGACCTGGCTGCCAAACACACACACTCACACACACAAATCGCCAGCGCTCACAGACAGCCAGTACTATTGCAGCCACCTTCACACCCATACACACATACAAACACAGCTAAATAAAGATACACACATTTGATATTAAAAAAAGAGAAACAACTCTTGTCATCTTAGTAGCGCACTTTCACACGCAGAGCCAAACACGGTTTTAGTCACGATTGCGTACACACACCCACACAGCACACACACTAGGCCAAGGACTATCATAGATACAGTTTGATACAGCCAAACATTGTTGTATCTCAGCCACCATCGTGGATACACACACTCACACTCGGGCCAAACATCACTGTAGCCTCCAGTGCGCGTACTCTGCACCCACAGCCAAAAACACTGGCTGTGTTGTCGTCTTTCCCCCACATTGCAAAAAACACTGTCACAGCAGCCACACACACGCACACATGAAACACATTTCATAGCCAAATCCTCCAAATACACACTACACCACCATTTGCTGGCTACGTATACATACAAACACACGCTCATGACCTAATATTATCTCAGCTGGAATTTTATGGAAATTTCAAACAGTGACTCAACTAGCCTTACACACACATACAGGCACATATACATACAGCATCTTCCAGTCACTGCCCAAATACACACCCTTACTCTCTGCCTGGGCTTTACCTTAAGGTACCCGCTAACAAGACTGAAGCCAAATGCTATCACAGCCGTCCCTGTCTCTCTCTCCCTTTCTCTCCCCTTCTCTCTCTCTCTCTCCCCCTCTCTGACACACACAAAACCTCGGTCCAGGCCAAACACCTCACTCGTCCCGAGCCAAAACCCTGGCAGCAGCTCCAGTTTGTTGGTCTATCTGTGGCGGTGAAAAACTGTAGGTAGCGGGCAGTCCTGACGTTGTCTGATAAATGTTCTCTCAAATACTATTATTACATTTCATTTTAAAATGTATTTTATTTTTTATCGACTTGATTTTCGCACAATAACTGAATGCTGCTGCCCAAAACACGATTTCATAACGACTTATTGTGGATTCTGGGTCATTGAGTGGTGTTTATGGGATTTAGTAACATATCTGCAGAGAACTGTTTTTGCTCAGTTTAATAATAAAATGTACTGTTAAACATTATTTATCTTGTAAATCCTAGTCTCGTACAACAGTAAATTATAGTATTTAGTTTGTTACATCTTAGCCCGGTGAAAGCTGCAAATTAATAAACACACCATATCTAGTAAGGTGTATGGAATTTGTATGAAAATGTTTTGGTATTTAATATATATATATTATATATAAACATAAACATATATATTACTTTATATATTATAAAGTGTCATTTTTTTAAAATTAAATTTGAGATGCGAAAATGGTTTTCCCTTTATGCTGGATAAAGAAATAAAACACAGTCAACCTAAAAACTGAAAATATTTTATTGTGGTATCATATTACATATAAACTACTATATTTTACAAAATAAAAAACTTGTGAGTGATAGTGCCTATTGATTTCTGTAAATAGTAGGCATAGTATTAGTGAAAAGATATTGTATTTACATTTGTTTATATGTACTGTTAAACAGAAAACACAAACTGTGAATGTCTCATGAAGCATTTATTTGTTGACTTTCCAGCTTTCAGTGTGTGGCTTCGCACCGTCGCTACTGTACTTTGGTTTACAGCAGTACAGTAAAACACATGGCTGCTTGGAGGCGCTGCCCAGTGCACTACCCATTTATAATATGGACTTACTGCGCGCTCTCTCTTATCTTATCTGGCAAACACAGTGTGCCTCGGTACTTTTATCTGCCTCCAAAGAGCCCATGCTCGGTTTAAGTCCTGTCTGGAGAGACACTCTGGGGTCTGCAGGCAGAGCAAGAGAGCGGGACAGAGGGAGAGACAAAGGGCAGCCAACTGTCTGCAAACCTGTCATAAGGTCACCACTGTCACCACACTTGGCTTTAATTCACTTCTAAGTAGCAAATGCTTATTTTTGTTGGCATAAAAAAATGCCTGCATTCATGTGTCACATTTATCGGTTGGAGTGATGAGTGGTTACATTTTTTGCCTCAGTCGCGCTGTGAATGACAAGATGTGCTCATTGTTTGTTTTTGTTTGGTTCGCGTTTTGTCGGTCTTTAGCATCTCTGTCTTCCTCGCTCCTCTTTGATCCCATGCACACTTTTGTTTTGTCTCCTTAAACATCGCCCTCATTGTTGCTCTCACAGAGGTAAAGCCTCTGTTGATCTCTTTTGTTTATATTGTAGGAGACAGAGAGAGAGAGAGAGAGAGGGAGAGAGAGAGCGTGTTGGAAAGGAGAAGAGGCTGCGATAGTGATTGTTCTGTTTGGCAGCGCCCGAGCCCCGTTGGTGTGGGAAGAAGAGAAAGACGTCTTGTGTTTTGTTTATGACAGAGTGGCAAAAGCTGCCACAGGGAATCTCTGGGCTTGCCGTCAGGCTTTCTCAGGCTGTTCTGCAGCCAGCCAGCCTTTGAGATCCTCTCTGTTACGGAGCATAACACACTGCAGCCGTAACAGAACAAACCACGCTGCCATAATACACAGCCATCTCCCCCTGCTTTTCAGGCACCTCAGATAAAGGGCAACAACCCAGACAGAGGGTCCCGTCTTTGAACATTGTAACTAACATACTGGCAAAGAATAGAGGAGAGGGTTGTGTGGTGCGCTGGAGTGAGTAGTGCTTTATTTTTTAGTGTTTTATCAAGAGTGATTGAACGGAGATAGCCAAAGGTATGCCTTATCTGCTTATCTTCATCTGTAATGCATTTGTGGAGAGATCCTTTAGCTGCTTTTCCTATTGGACTATTTGATTTATAACCTGTGCTATTTTAGCTTAAACTCAGCACATTTCTGATTTATTCAATGTTGGAAAAATAGAAGATTAAGGGAAAAAAACATTTGTGAGGTCCAAAGTTAGCTCAGTGCACTCAGTAATTTTTTTTACTTCATTCTTGCTGCTTTTTCTTTGCTTTTCTTTCTTTTGTACGCGGTAAGTGTGATCATGAAAAGATGTTTCAAATGTGTTTCCAATCAAAAGTGCAGTACAGGAAATTTGCAGTCACTCCGAGGGAGGTGTGAAATGTGCTCGCCGTGCCATTTCTGCCATGACCGCTCCACACTCCACGCTTTACGGTGCCAGATCCCGCCTCCCTCTCGCTATAGCAATAGTCATGCCTTGGACGGCGCTGTGAGAAAGCCCGGAGAAATCCTAGTGCTGCAGCCGGCCCCGCGGCAACTCACTGACCACAGGAAGGATTCACAAATTAAAAAAAACGTGTGTCCATCACTTATGAAAACTCCCAGAGTATTCTGGATTTATGGGGGGAAAGACCAGAAATATGAAGAAAGAAGGGAGAAAAGTATATATGACATATATATGATTGGTGAGAAAGAGAGGCTCCTGACAGTCATGGCTGACATGATAAATCGTTTGCTACGTGATAAAAGTTGACAGGATACTCTGATGGATTCCACAGGTTCCCACTGCTCCATGGCTCAGTATTCCTTTTTTTCTGTGAAAATAATCTGTTCTTAATTACTTCCTGGATCTCTTCTCCAGCTCCCATTACATCATGAGGTTTGACTGGACTGTCCTTGTGTGTAAGTGTTTTTGTTTGTGTCTGTGTGAGCACATCTTAGGATGACCCTCAGCAGTGAAGTAAGGATTGAGTTTTGATTAAATGAAATCACAGAGGGAGTCGGTCAGGTCTGAGGCTTTTGTATTGTGTGTGGTGGGAACAGGGCCCACGCCGGCTAAGAAAAGCTCTCCGCATGCAGAGCGGCTTTGGCATCAGCAAATGTTCGCCGGTGTCTCTCATTTATCCGGGCCTGCGTCATCGTCTTCTGCGCGTCTCTTTCTCTGTCTGGCGTCAGGAGCATGTCGAGGTGGCTACGTATCAAATCTAAAGGGTTAAGATAGAGGGAGAGCCCCGTCACATTAGAGAGACAGAGTGAGAAGGAGTCTTCTCACACTATTCTTGGCTTCGGAAAAAAGTCTGTGTATTTGGATAGCTAATGGTATCAGGCTAGCCAAAGCCCTGTTGTGTGCTCATTCACTCCAAAACTTGCACACACACGCATACACACACACAGTCGCGAGGCTAACGTTGGGGTGTCACAGACG